CACGTTACACATGGATGTCATTACATTACAAATGAAGAAGCTTGAATGATATTTTAAAATTATATAAAAAAATAACAAATGTAGAGCATTGAGCTTCTAATTCAGGTGGTCTGCAAGTTTTTATGCTAAGTTTTTTTTAAAAATTTACTACCATTCCCAGACCTGTGTGTTTGCACATTAGTGCTACCACACCCCGCCTTTATCAATTACGTAACTGGGGTGTGCGATAGACTTACCTCCACGTGGTGCACCCTGGGCAACGTATATTCATACGGCAAAAAAGTCTATTGACTGGCAATTGACTTGTCACTTCAAACTACCATCACCTCACTCTATGCCATATTCGAATATTTTCTCAGTTCTTACCTCACCTTTGTTCTACCTTTGTGTTTGTCTCTTACATCTTTGGAACACTCTTCTGTTCCCCCTCCCCTCTCGACTTTTTTTCAATTTGATGTTTCTTCCTCTCTGTGAAGCCTGAAGTCAACTAAAGGGCTAATGATAACCATCAAGACGCCTGCCATTTGATATAAATAAATAACAATTACGTAACTATGCGAAATAATGAAATAGAACGAATATCATTGAAGAAGTTGCCAAATATATCATATCTTCGTCAAGTAGGAGAGTTTAACGTAGTTGTTGGACTTGTTGACAATACATATCTAGCATCAATTGTGGATCTTCTGTAGAATAATTCCGTTAATTTGCAAGAATGAACTTACTTATGCAAGCCAGTTCCCAACTCTGATTAATTGAAGGGATTTGCTGAAATAGGATAAAAAAATCTTTCATCAGATTAATAACTCTGCAATTTTAGAAAGTTGAATTTCCAATCCAAGTTGACTGGATACTTTAATGCAAAGTTCTTTTATGATTTGGTAACAATCTCTGAGCTGTGTTTTGAAGCAAAATAGTGTGATTCCCTCCATGTATTTTTCAATGCTTAAATTAAAGCCCACTTTCTAATAAATACGATAATTCTCCATTTTCTTTTCTTAAGCTCAAATCTTTTCATGTCCCTTAGCTGCATGGCTCATTTACGACTCATGAGAAATGCTTTCCGGATTACAGAAGAAATTTAGCATTCGATGAGCCCTTCTTTGCAACAATTTGTATCGAGTTTCCGACTATTTTAAATTTATATTTTCTTTCACGCTTCGTTATTTATTTAATCGTTAATATCTTTTTATTTATAATTTACGTAAACGTCATATAATTAATATACATATGACTCTATAGTCTTCCAAATAAAATACGGTGTTTTTTAGAAAATAATGATAAATATGAACATTTAATTTAGTTAAGATAATATTCAGAAAGCAGTGAGGGTGAATATTTTTACAAAGTTTCATTAAAATATTACTGAATATTATTAAGTAAAGCAGTTGAATTATAATAAAAAATAGTCAGAACGTTTGCTGCATTTAAATGAATTTTGCATTACACAGTTGAAAATTGTGAGACACAAGTATATCACCGATAGAAAATATACCAAAATGATTGCGTTTACGAATGTCGGAAGCGTATTGTTGTGCAAAGTGTCATTGAAATGTTACTGAATTTTAGTAAGTAAAGCAGTTAAATTTTCATATAATGCAGGCAGAACGTTTGTTGCACTTAAATGAATTTTGCATTGCGCAAGTATAATGCCAAGAAGAAATATGTCCACATGATTAAGTTAACTAATGCCGGTGGCGTATAAAATCTATTGTTGTGTTAGATAAATAATAGCAATTTTCTAGCAAGTTTTGTTTTGATAAAGAATTGCGTTTCATGGAAAATGGTTGCAATTTGAGTTAAAAAATAGAAAAATGAGCAATTTTAAAAACACTCTACGATTTGTTATTAGAGGTAAATGAAGAATGTAACTGAATTTTTAGGTATGATTGGCACTAAATTTAAATGAGCCTGTTTATCGAAATTCCACAAGAAATTCAACTATGAGGTAGTAAAGCGTAGTTGCATCACAAATCAGACTAGTTGCGCTAGCCTAGAAAGTTAGGGATTTTGAAATATGAATAAGGTTTACTAACTAATTTAACTTCTGTCTACTCTACCTTTTTGGCCCATTCTATTTGCTTAATTTCAATACTGGAACACTATACCGATGACTAAGGCTAATTTTCCCTCCTCGAATCGATGAAAATGAATTCCTTCAAAGACACATCTATGTTTTTGGCGAACTGTGTTTCGTCTAAATTACCAAATATTTGCTGAAACATCGTAGAGATAAACGATGAAGTATGTGGAGGGATTAATGCAAATGAAGCAACGAGAGTTGAAAAAGAGGTTGGGAGGAGGATGTGGAAGTGAAACCGCAGTCAATAGTCGAGTGTTGACAGCTGAGTTGTTGTCTTTGTTTAATGTCATGTGCCAGTGCAAGAGGATGGCGACGAGGATAAGGATGATATTGATGAGTTCGAGGTTGATAATACCAGAAATTTACCACCACGTACTTGGTACACGAAGAGCGTCTCAGCAGTAAAAATTGAATTATGATACCTTTGAAAGATCTCCTTACTGAGCAAAGCATGGAGGTGTATCTTAAGTCAATTCATTTCTCCAACGAATCGATGATAGTTGGGCGAATTGATTGGAAATACGTGCATGTACAAAATGAATATGTTTTGGATTATTGTAATAATGTGAAATTTTCCAGATGCACACTTTCACAAACTAACTTTTGACAATAATAATAATTATTATTATATAATTTAAATATATAGAATATCAAGGACACTTCCCATATAAATAATTACTGAGCTGAACGAGATTAAGTGAAAATATATTTAATGGTCAGAGGAAAATAAAAGTAGAATTTATTAGGAAATTTTTATTTCAAAATTTGTAAATGTATTGCACTTCTCGTGTAAGATCCAGCCAAATTGATTATACCTTTGCTGTGTGCTCAAAGCAAAGTAGTATGCAAGCATATACTGAGCTTTCATGTTGATATTTGCAATGTTAATGATAATTGGTACTGGCAAATATTTAATGTTGAAATTTCTGCGGAGGAATTTCAGAAAAACACTTCAATACTTTCTACTTGTTCTGTGTCCACCAGCAAACGCCTTTCACATCCTGGAAAGCATTTCTTCAACTGCTAATATTTTGTGTCATTTTGTCTAACGCACCTCGTACTCACTTGATTTTGACTAATTTTATCACAACTGTTTAGAAATAAATAAAAAGTGAGTGGATATATAAGATGAGCTAATTTCTGAAAGCAATGAATACCCTTAAGAGAGTTTAATCAAATACTACTGACTATAAGAAAGCATAGCATGTAAATTGTTATTAACTTTCAAATGAGAATGGTGGATTTCATTCTGTTTAAATCCAGTATCCATCATTATACTACATCTCAATTTTGCATGAATATTCAAAACTTTTATTACATTTTCTAACAATAAGATGGCATTTTAAGACCTTTAAAGGCACCACAACTTAATTTGAGATTCAAGTTTTCTGATTCATTTAAAACGTCTTCATTTGAGTTCTGTAATAAAACGAAATTTTATCTATGAGTTTAGAGGGAAAAAATTAATTTGGTCTTAAAATAACAACGTTCCTCTAAACGGCTCAAAATTGAACCAAATGCCTTAAGATAACCTTTGTAAAATTTACCTACTCTGTTAATACAATATTTCACTTATAACCTGTCTAATGTAGAAATATTGACTGAATTAAGTTAGCCATTTGTATCAACGTTGCTCTATGCTTAAGATACCTTTAGTCAAATTTATCAATTGATTTTAAAAGTCATATTTAGGTTACAAAAAGTTAAATATTATTGCAAATGCAAAACAAATACTAATAACTTTTAGCCAGTGCAGCTGTTAGATCTCAATCACCTTAAGGATCGTTCGTGTAATTTGATTTGAAAAGACTGTTACAGTAAAGGGGTGAAATTACCTTTCGCTTTCTCTGATTCTGAATATGCCGTACTCTGTTGTCAAACTTTATCTGATATTTCTTTCCTTCTAATGTAAATAAAGGTGTTTTAAAAGACGCGAAACCGATTAATTGCTCTTTATATTCGAACAAAGTATGAACAACGCACGTTGGCTATGTCAGATATCAGGCTATGCATGCAATTGACGGCTGTAGAATATTTACCTCCATAATCCAGAAAATATCTTTACAGAAGGTTAATTAAGTGCAAATGTATCCAGTGATACTCTAAATGACAAAGGAAGATATTTTTTGTGTGAATCACGATCCAAATGCTGTCATGTGATGTCATTTGTCCATGATGCTGTTCATGCATGGACTTGAAGATAAATGCAAAACATGAAGATGCTGATTGTCGGCAACGTGTGTTGCGCTTATTTGCATCAAGCCTGTCTTGATTACCTACGGAGACCTATGTGATGTGTTATATTGAAAGAGCAATACCCGACATCATTGACAATTCTCAAATAATGTCGGAAAGCGAGTAAACAGCAAAACGCTATGAAAACAATTAATTATTGAAGATTTGTCACCATCCACATGATTTCTAAAGATCTACGCGTGGAACGAATAATAATTCTGTAGGCATTATTATCACGCTTATGAAGATAAGTCTCACTTTTAAAACAATTTATTTCTTCAGATTGGAATCCCCGAATTGATTTTTTATGATTTATAAGATCCCAGTCTCTCTCAAAATGTTTCTCCTGGTTACTTGTGATTAATTTAGCTAATTCACTCAGGGGATCTGAGTGAAGAAGATGCAGCAGTTATCATGAATAAAAACCATGGAGCTATGAACAGTGGAAGTGAAATGGACCCTCATTATTTGCAATATTTCAATTCAGATTAAGATGCTCTAAATTGGCCTACAAATGTATCTTATTTCAAAATCAAAACGAACCAATATGAACTCGAGTACATATATTAATAGTTGAAATCAAATTTTTTTTCAAACTAATCAAAGTGATTACAATCTAATATGGGGATGATTTTGTACAAATACTACTATTTATTAATTCGTATATTTGAGAATATTTAAGATGGTTTTGAACAGAGGTGAATATAACAAAATTTGACAACGACATCGAAATTGCTTTAGGTTATGGCAGAAATTGAGTTAGAAAGTCAATTGATAAATTCTATGAGGATTTTCTAATTCTAACCGTTGAAATCATTGCACGAATTAATTAACTAAAGTAAAATATTATTCATAAAATAAAAAAATTATCATGGCGAGCCGATAAAATGGGTTAAGAAGAACGTATCTTACCTTTATTTGAGCTCGATCGCGGTTTTTTAGTTATCGATTCAGAAACTTTAAAGAATTTTAATCTAATCTCTCTCTCTCGCTCTCTGATTTAATCTGCATCGGTCCCTTCAACCACTTGTAACCAATGCGAAAAGTTTCATATGATTCGCACAATAGTTTTGTGTGTGTGAGTGTTATTTAAAGTAGCACAGACCCATATTTACAAAGTCAAAAGTGATTTTAAGATGGTAATAGGATAGATGAATGCATTTTGTACTATATTAATATAAGTAAATTTCGTACTGTTTTACATGTTTGTGTTAATAAAAAAGCTTAAACAAATTTTTAAATTTTTGAATTTCAGCTGGGGATAATATGTTTACTTTTACTTTCTTCTAACATCGCCTATTCACGTGAGTTACGTTTTAAATTAATATTTCTCTAACATGATATTTTTTAAAAATCTTAAAGTTAAAACAATTGTTTTTTTAATAGCCTGATATCATATTTCAATCAATTTGCTCATAGAGATAAGGCTGAAATTTTTCATGCTATACTTCGTTGTTAATCACTCTCGCTGTGTGATCTCTGTCTTTCTACAGGCAAAGCTAGCAAACGACCTTCCACATTTAGTTACAATTAATTGATTTAATGATTAAATGTGTGCTGCCTAGGTCCATATCAAATTTATAGGTTCCTCACAATGTTGCTGAAAATTCATATCTCGCTCTTGTTTTCAATTTTTATCAACTTTTTTTTTCAAATTAATGTGATGATGATTTATTACTTTAAGGTCGCGTCTATGGTGCTGAATTTTACGATGGCACAGATGATGATTTGCATCAATTAAATAAACGAAATTTGGATGAATGGGAACCCTCCATCGACGACGAGGCTAATGACGATGATAGGAACTTAGAATTGAGTAAGAAAGTAGTCTGGCGAGGTCCCCAATCATATAAAGGCTATAGCTCATCAAGGGGCCATAACAATGGAAGGTCTGCAAGTTCCGATTGGAAACGCTATGGGGCAGCAAACAAACCTCAAAAGCACGTCGATTTGGACAAGATCGTTCGCCATAAGGATCGTAAAAATGATCTGACATATAGACAAGGATTAGAAGAATTAGCTGACCTTATGTAATCTTTATCAGTGGTGCGAATAAAAATTTCTTTGTTCCGAAGATGGAGTTTAACCGTTTTTTTTGCTATTAAAGTAGTATATAGATTCTCATTCTTCGTGCTAATGCGAAACGGGCATTTGATGATTAATCTGCTTTATATCAGGAGATGTAGAAATGAACTGCTTATACAATATATTACCATTTGAAATGTTCTCGTGCTAATTGATTTGAATAGCTTAAAGAAAACCCTGGACTCCAGTCATATCATGCTTTGTTTATTGCATACACACTGTAAGCCAATATTGTAACACCTAAGGCAAATAAAATGAAATTGATGCAGGCATTTGGTGAATTTATGGTCTTATTTCCCCAACCTGCAAGATAGTATGCCAATTAGTTAAGGCAATTACTGCAATTGGTCTGCAGCATAAATTGAAATAATTTAACATGCAGGCAATTTGGACGACACAGAAGGGATTTACGCAATCTGGTAGTGCAAAAAATTCTTCTTGCAAGTTTGATGTAATTTCCTTAATAATCCTAGGTCGAAACTTAGAGTTGCAAATTAACTGGGAAAATAAGTGTCTCCACTAACTATTACACTACTTTCCCTTTGAAAAAATGTTTCATTTTCTATTTTATAAGAGAGCAATTCTTTTCATCCAGTTTCAAAAATTATATTTGAATTGTAACATCGCTTAAATTCGAACTTATGATATGATATATATATATATATATATATATATATATATGTCTAGAAAATATGGAAGGGGGAGTTTACTCACGTGATGTAACATGTAATAGTGTGTTAAAGAAGTACCCGAAAACCGCAGCTCGTAAACATTCCTTTTATTACACAATTGTGATTTATGTTTGCACTTAAAATTTCCAAATCTGTTAATTATATTTTATTGCTTAGAGGCAATTTCCAAATGCCAGTAAAACTTTTCCCACTTTCTCAAAGTACTTAATATAGCTCAGCAGAAGAAAACTCTATCATATCCCAAATTTCTTACATCTTTATTTAATTCTCATTAACTCTTAAGCCGTTTCGATTTTTACTCAGTTTCTAATTAACAATTCATTGTATTTACTTTAATGACTCTATGTTCACCATATTGTATAGATGACGTTTCATTTTATTTAATAACAATTTTTTGAAAATATTTTGTAAATTTGCCAACTTGTGATGGTAATAATACTAATTTTCATTAGTAATAGCAACAGGGATTTGATTAACGTGAGTATAATATATTATTCAAGCAAATGAACGATTTTTGAAAGCGCCGATTGACAGCAAAGGCAGTTAATGCTTTAAGAAAAGCAATGGATCGTTTTTAAAGGTTGGATATTCTCTAAAATAGTGCTACAAAAGCACTGGCTTTTTAATCAAGACTTAAAGTTAACGTTAGGACAATTCGCAAAATATGAAGGTTCACTGTTCCTTGTGTGAAAATTGCAAATCCTTCATTAGGTTAAATCACAACCAAGCACATTTGGATTCAGTAATGCTTCATTTATTCAATGTTGAAATTCAATTTAAATTTGCTGCACATGTAAGCGATTAGATATAATATTACTTAGTTAATCATTTATTCATATCAAATGGCGGGGGTTCTGATAGTTATTATTATCTCCTTAGTTGACTACGAGCTTCACAGAGGAGAGGAACATCAAAGTGGGGAAAATTCGAGAGGGGGAACAGAGAAGTGATTCAAAGATGTAAAAGAGACAGACAGACACAAAGGCAGAGAAAAAGGTAAGATGAGTACTGTAGAAGTGGTTGAATATGACATACGGTGGGGTTAAGATAGTCTGAAGTCAGAAGTCAACTGCCAGTCAATGGACTTTTTGCGGTAAGCGTATACATTACCCAGTTTGCACCACGTGGAGGTAAGTCTGTCGAACATCATTCACATATTTAATCGTAGCATGGGTTGTTTTATACCTTTTCTTAGGAAAGAGAATGTAATTTACTATGAATCAATGAAACTTTCTATCAGAGATTGCC